AAAAAAGGGTAAATATGAAGAATATGCGATTTTAGTAAATAAATTTTGAACGAAAAATTTATTTCTTTTGCTTTGCCTAATTCCATAGTCTTTTTTTGACTTATTGAAAATTTACAAAAAAGTAACTCGACAACAACAACAACAACGAGAATAATAAATCAAAAAAAAATAAAGCAGCAAATTAATACGATGTTGGCATCATAGAATGATGATGATGATGATGATGAAAAAAACAGATGAACATCGGAGAAAAGAAAATGAATTTCAAAAATGTGTGTGTGTGTGTGTACTTGACAGAATCTATATATCATTTTGGTTTGGCCCGAAAAACATTATTATTATTGTCGTCGTATATACGTAAAGATCCATTCATCATTCTATCTTTCTTCGTTTTGGTGTCACTAATTTTTCCCCACAAACAAATAAACTAGAATTATTATGATGATGATGTATGGATCAAGCAAGCAAGCAAGCAATCTTTCTTGTTAATGTAAATGTGTTTGAATAAAATAACGAATAGAATTTACTTTTGAAGACGAAATATTCCTTTTCCTACTTTCCTATGATGATGATGATGATGGCATCCAAAATACCACAACAACAACAACAACAACAACCACTACCATATTATCATCATTATTACCATATTTCTACCATACATGCATACCATAATTCTAATTATATTTTGTCATCATCATCATCATCAACATAATATTCTAATGATGATGATGATGAAGCAAGACAAATGGTAAAAACTATGGAGACATTATTGGCCTACATTTATTTATTAAAAAAAAAAACTATCACATTGAATTCCGTCTCTCTTTCTCTTGTTGATGATGTTCATTATTATTAATTTTTATCGTTTTGTTGACGTTCATGTAACACACACACATATATATATAGACATACATCAGACACACGTCATAAATCAAATGAATGAATCGACTATATGAAGAAATAGAATTTATCAAATAAAATGATGTTTTGTTGGATGAAATTTTCTTCTTCTTTTTTTTAGTCTAGTAAATCATCAACGTTAACATTTGGAAAATTATTTTTTTGTTATATCATCCATATATGCCATATGTGTGTAGAAACCAAGAATTTTTTTTTCCTATTTTCCATTTTTACAAGTGCTTGTATCTCTCAAACACTTACACACATTGACAGCTTGTTGAATTCAATTTGATAGTGTAAATTTATCAATTTCAAAACGAAAAAACGAATGAAAAAAACCTGTAATAAAGAAAATGTTTCCATGTTTTTGAATAAGTGGATTATAGACACATAGAGAGAGAGAGAGAGAGAGAGAGAGAGAGAGAGAGAGAGAAGGGAATAATTTTCAGTTTGACAAGATTCCATTTTTTTTTCTCAACCAAAAACAACTATATAGTTATAGTATTCGGAAGCTTTCCAAAAAAAAGTTGCTTCTTTTTTTTGCTTGTTGCAATTATTTTTGAAANTGTGTGTGTGTGTGTGTACTTGACAGAATCTATATATCATTTTGGTTTGGCCCGAAAAACATTATTATTATTGTCGTCGTATATACGTAAAGATCCATTCATCATTCTATCTTTCTTTCTTTCGTTTTTCTTCATTTTGGTGTCACTAATTTTTCCCCACAAAAACTAGAATTATGATGATGATGTATGGAGCAAGCAAGCAAGCAAGCAATCTTTCTTGTTAATGTAAATGTGCCTGAATAAAATAACGAATAGAATTTACTTCGAAGATTCTTTCCTATGATGATGATGGTATCCAAAATACCACAACAACAACAACAACCACTACCATATTATCATCATTATTACCATATTCTACCATACATACACACACACGAACACCATAATTCTAATTATATTTTGTCATCATCATCATCATCATAATATTCTAATGATGATGATGATGATGATGAAGCAAGACAAATGGTAAAAACTATACTATGGAGAACATTTTATTGGCCTACATTTTTATTTAAAAAAAATATCACATTGAATTCCGTCTCTCCTTTCCCTTGCTGTTGATGATGTTCATTATTATTAATTTTTATCGTTTTGTTGACGTTTGTCATGTAACACACATATATATAGACATACATCAGACACACGTCATAAATCAAATGAATGAATGAATGAATGAATGAATCGACTATATGAAGAAGAAGAATTTATCAAATAAAATGATGTTTTGTTGGATGAAATTTTCTACTTCTTCTTCTTTTTTTTAGTCTAGTAAATCATTAACGTTAACATTTGGAAATTTTTTTTTGTTATATCATCCATATATGCCATATGTGTGTGTAGAAACCAAGAATTTTTTTTCCTATTTTCATTTTTACAAGTGCTTGTATCTCTCAAACACTTACAAACATTGACAGCTTGTTGAATTCAACTTGATAGTGTAAATTTATCAATTTCAAAACGAATGAAAGAAACGAAAAAAAAACCTGTAATAAAGAAAATGTTTCCATGTTTTTGCTGCTATTGAATAAGTGGATTATAGACACATAGAGAGAGAAGAGAATAATTTTCAGTTTGACAAGATTCCATTTTTTTTCTCAACCAAAACAACTATATAGTATTCGGAAGCTTTCCAAAAAAAAGTTGCTTCTTTTTTTTTGCTTGTTGCAATTATTTTTGAAAGTAATTAAGACATCAATCAAATCAAACCGAACCAAAGAAAAAGAAAAGAAAAATAAAACAAGGCTGTGTTGATTGAGTTTTTCATCTTCTTCTCTATTCTGTTGTTTAACTTGTACACACACCAATTTTCGAATGAATATAAATTAGAATGACGGTTAACATTTTAAATGACAAGATAGTGTGTGTGTGTGTCTTGAATGAATTGATTGATGGATGGATGAAATGAAATGAAATGACAATATTTGACATCATCATAAGATTCTTTCATACTTTGATTTTGATTTGTTTTTTTGTTTGCTAACCTAAAAGAGATTTTGTCTTTCATCATTTAATCAGTAAATTAAAATTGTTTCATTCGCTTTCTCTATATCTCTCTCTTGGTCATGGTTTTTGTCTTAAATTTCAACAACAACAACAACATAGAAAAAAGTTACATTGATGATTGAACATTTTGTTTATATGAAAAAAAATTCTTTGTCGGGAGAAATCATCATCAACATCAAATAAAATTTGACATGCCATGTCAATCTTGTTGTTTTTCTTTTTTTGTTTTTGTTGGTTCAATTTTAAATTCATTAAGGTTATATTCTTTCAATTTCATCCATCATGATGATGATGATGATGATATGGTATTGCACACCGGAATTCAGTCTCTCTCCTTCTATATTACTTTTGTTTATTTACTTCGTTGATTTATCATCATCATCATCATCATCAAACATTGTCTTTAGAAAATCATCAAACGTTCATCCAAAAAGAATGAAAAAAAAGAAGAAATCCTTATATCAACTGTCATATTCTTTACAATTTGATTTTGTTGTAAAGTTTTGAAATGTAAAAAGATCATCCTCATGATCACCGTAATTTGATATTTTTTTTCTTCTTCTTTTGATATTTTTACCGAAACAACCGACCAAGAAGAAGAAAAAAATCTTCAATCTTCAGCCATTTTTATGATCTTTTTGGCAATTTCATTTTCAAAAATTTATCTAATTCACCATATCGTCATCGTTGAAGATAAAATGGTGGAATGAGAAAAATCAAAAGCAGCAGCGAACTAGTGATTTAAAAAAAACAAACCACTAAAAATCCAGTGAATTGATTAAGACAAAGATATTTAAATGTCTAAATGTCTGCATGTATGTATCAAAATTTGGAATTTTAAAGTGTGCAAAAAAAACAAACAGAAAAGATAAGACAAGAAGCCGCACAAAATAAAACAAAAAACAGTTATTTTTTTTCTTCAAAATGGTGATTGATCTAAAAAAAAAATGATATTCAGCAAACACTGGTAGAACAATGTCATCATCATTTTTCATTTCTGCCTTGCCTTGCCATTCATGATACAAATGTTGGTGAAGAAGAAAAAAAAATGTTGCCAACAAATTAGCTATATTTAACATATGTGGAAATGTTCAAAACGACAAAGCGACAAACAAACGGAAAGACAACAGTTAAACGATAGAAACCAGGCTTGAAGATTGGAAACAGAAAAAAAATCACTTGTTTTTTTTTCTATCAATTTATTCAACCAAACAACAATCAACCAACGTTTTTAATGAATACAATTAACCGAAAAGGACACAAATTATCGTCTATATATGTTTTTTTGAAAATGACATTTTGGACAAAATATATATGGATGGAGAAACGAGTGTGACAAACAAAAAAATTCATAAATCATTCTTTCGAGATAGAGAGAGAGAAAACAGAAAAATCATCTTTTTCGCCAAAAAAGCAGACTTTGAACAACATTTGGATCATAAATTGGCACAATGAAATATACACACAGTGATTCTACCACAAGACATTTCTCTAAAAAATTCTAGTCTAAACATACACAGACATAGACACAATCTACCAATTAGTCCATTAATTAAAGCAGCAAAACAGTTTCTTCATCATTTTATGTTTTTGACTTTCCACCCTACTTCAGTTCCATTATCCACAACCAAAAAACAACAACACAGATGATCATTATCAAATTTACACCCCAAACACACAAACACACGAAACGAAATAATCAACGGAAATATGCAACTTGGATTTTTGAATTGCCAAAAAGACAACGAAAAAAAAATTCATCAATTTTCTTCTTTTGGAAAATAATTACTTTATTTTGTTAATTAATTAATAATTAGCAAGATTTTTTTGATTACATAATTTGCTTCATAACAATCTTGATTGATTGATTGATTGACATTTGACAAAAAAAAAACATTGATTACATTGAGAAACACAAACACACACATACAAACTATTTGATAATCAATACACCAGGAACAGAAGAAGAAAAAAAACAGGAAAAAAAAAATATATTTTACAAGTTAAAGTGAGAAAAAAAAATGATTATACAATCAATCAATCAATCAATCGAAAAAAATAATAACTAAAAAAAGATCAATATGGCGTTAATTGAGAGAGAAAATACAAACAACATTGACATATAGGTGTAATTAGAGAAAAAGGCAATCATCATATTGAAAGGTGTTTGTGTGTTTGTGTGAACATTTCTTTTCCTTTTTTATTTCGAAGAATTAACTTTATGGTGGTACCGGTGGTCCAATACGACCGGCAAGAAAATTTGGTGGTGGTGCCAACGTAAATGGATAATAAAAATTTGATGCGGATGATGTTGGTAAACCAGCAGCAGCAGCAGCCGCTGCTGCTGCTGCTGCAGCTGTAAATGGTGATGTTGTTCCAGTTAAATGTTGTTGATGACCATATAAACCAATACCATTTGTTGTTGAACCATTTAGACCAAATAATGATGGCATCAATGTAGGAGGTAGCGATGATGCTAATGAAACATTAGTTGTACCTGAAGCAGATGATGTAGTAACTGTATTTGAATTACCATTTGATAGATTTATTGATTTTGAATAAGGATGATAACGATTATTAGTATTATGATGATGTTGATGATGATTATGAGATGATGATGATGGACTGGCCGTTGATGATGATGATCCTGTACGGCTACCCGATGGTGATGGTGTTCCACCTATTGATGGTGAATTTTGTTGTTGTTGATGATTGTTAATTAATGGTGATGATGAACTTTGATTACGACTATTATTATTATTATTATTATTAGCAGATGTATCATTGATATTATTTGTTGACGTTGATGATGTGTGCGTTTTTAAATGTTGTAATAATTCTTCACTTGTATTGAAACGTTTTCCACAATGATGATTATCACCAATAATCCAATTGCAAACATTTCCTGTTGTAGCTGTTGGTGCTGCTGATGCGGCTAAAGCTGCCATCATACGTTGATGATGTTGTTGTAATGCGGCTGCAGCGGCCAACGATGATGCATAAGCATTACTTGCTGCTGCTGCTGCCGATGGTGATTGCAATAAACCGTATCCACCACCGCCCAAAGCGGCAAATGAATTTCCATATACAGCAGCCAATGTGGCTAGATAACGTTGATGTTCACATTGATTACAACCATTTGGACATGTTGCTGGTGTACATGGTGTATTTGAAGCTGAATTTGATGACGAACCGTTTGAAGAAGCTTGTGAAGATGAATGACCATTTGTTTCCGTTCTATGATTCGTACCATTAACAGAAATAGGAGGAGATGTTGTTGTCGAAGAAGTCGAAGATGATGATAAGGCCACCAATGCCAATGGATTATGATGACTATTATGATGAAGTGGACTACATTGTCCACCACAATAAGGATCACGACAATGTGGATTCGGTACAGTACCGGTAGCTGGTATCATTCCTTTAAGTCTTTGTGAATAATTATATGCTGCTAAAGCAGCAGCAGCCGTTGCCGGTGGTGTTGGTGGATATATCGATGGATAAGCACCGGTTTTATCCAATGCAATCGGTGGTGGCATTAATGATGGATACGGTGATCCAGATGTTGTTGTTGGACAACAATTTGGTGTTAAAAATCCATATGCTTTATAGAATGCAGCCAATGAATCTTTATGCATATCGGGTAAACCTAAACTAGTATAACTGATTGGTTGTGCCGATGATGATGATGATGAGGAATTTTTATTATCCGATGATGTTGGTGATGGCACTTTATTATTTAAAGAATTTGGCGAAGTTAATGATTTTGATGGTGATGATTTATCTCTTTCATTTGTTAATTTTCTATGATTATTATGATGATGTTGATGATGATTATTATTAGTTTCATAAGGCTTAAAATTGAGCTTTGAATGATGATTGTGATGTTGTTGTTGTTGTTGATGATGATGATCAAGAAAATAATCATTAGATTTTATTTTTGGTGTCGTACGACGATTATGATTATTATGATTTATTGAATCATTACTATTGGAAGAATTATTTGATGATGTTGATGATGATGATGAACCATTGGATAAATTTGCCGTTCCATTATTATTCAATGATTTTAGATTATTATTATTATTATTATTGTTTGGTTGATCAATACCAATATTTGAACATGTTTTTGCTAATAATGCCAATGGACTTTTATTTGCGTCCAACTAAACAAATTGAAGAGAAAAAAAAAGAAAAGAAATTAGTCAAACTAAACATAATAACAATAATAAAAATTCAAAGTTATTCAAATGTGTTATAATATCCCATTTATATGGATTTTATTTGCTTTTTTTTACAATGATGAAATTGGATCTATTTGATCTAAAGAAATCGATCGATCGATTTTTTTTGTTACGTTCAGTTTTAGTGAAGCACAAAAACACACACGTAGTTTAGGTTTTCTTTTCGTTTTTCTACGAAGAAAATGCATAAAGAAAATGTATTTGTAAAGACCGCTTCTGGAATTTTTTTTTGTGTATTCAAAAAAAATAATGTCATTGCTGAATAAAGATTTATATTTTTTTTCAGCAAAAAAAAAATTGTCTTGGAATTCTATGAACAACAACAACACATTATATGTTCTGGTTTTTGTATATATGTACGAAATGTGTCATAAATATGGTTGTTTCTTGCCCATTGTATTTTTGTTGGTAAAATTGATGATATTCCAACAGCAACAACAATTTGATGATAATGGCCCAAGCTGAAAAGAAAGAAACCGATCAGTCATTTCCAAGTGACTAAACAATAATAACAACATGGGCAATATGCTGTGTGGCTAATATATCTGAATGAAAAGAAATATTACTTTTTTGAATAAAAATGGAGAACCAGAAAATATACAATCAATTTATCATTTGCTTTTATTCATTTGATAAATGTATGTATGTTCGTTGTATTATATGGTTCATAATCAAATTGGTGTCAAATAACATAACAGAAAGAAAAAAAAATTTCGGATGAAAAGTCCAAAGAAAAAAAATCGAGAGGAGGGTAATTTATTAATAAAATGATGATGATGATGATGATCAAACAGAAAAGAAAAGAAAATCCGATCCATGAATGATCGATTTTCTAAAGTGAGAGAGAAAGAGAGAGTGGGGAAAAGAAAATGAAATTATATGGAACCGAAGAAGATGATCATCGCTTCGGCAAATAAATAAAAGATTAAACACAAAGACATACACACCAAAATTTGATCAATCAATCTTAAAATGAAAGAAAATATATCCTAAATACACCCACGCATACATCAAACAAAAAAAATATGATCCAACCATCATGGTCAAGCAATAATGATGATAATAACAACAACAAACATAGCTAATATTTAGTCAAGGGTCAAGTCAATCAATTCAAATATTATTGCTTTCGAATCCACTTTTTTTTGGTCCATCATATTCTGGCTATCTCTCAATTATTCATTCATTCATTCACATTTGGATATCATACCGTATCAAAATTGACAATTTCTTTTCCGATACGATAATGGATGATAGCTTTGTAATTTTTTTTTTTGGCTGTTTCTGTAAAGTTTTTTTGTGAAAATTGTAAATTATCGGGGCTAAAACATGCGGTTCATTGATCAATTTATCTAAACATACATATACAGCACAATTGATCATTATGACATTGACATTACAGTGGAGAATTGAGGAGAGAAAGAAAAAAAACCAATTGATCAAATAAGAATTTAAATATATCTTTATATACGACGACAACGACACTACAACTGAAAAATTTGTAAAGAAATTTCTCCTTCTTTTCAAAAGAAGAAAAAAAGGAGTATAATGGATCGATTGATATCAAAATGAATGAGTGAAAGAAGAAAAAA